ACTTGCCCTGGGACCACAGGTTTTCTTGCTGGCCTGAGAGGCAGCGGCCCATCTGGCATTATCTGTCCCTGGCCCGGGAGAGGAAGGGCAGCGGCCAGCCCCACCCACCTTGCCTCCCGAGGTCTCATGTGGCCGTCTCAGGGCAATGGTACACGGGCTCTCTGGACCTCCCGGGGGTCAGCTGGGCACAAGGTACCGTGGTGCACACCCCTCACTCAGCACAGCCCTCCCCCCTGGGAGGTGGTCCCGGACACCCACTCCCTGGGCCAGAGGGCACTGGGCGGTGGGAGTCCACACCCAGAGGCCCGGGCTCCTGCATAGCCTGAAGCCCCTTGCTTCTTCTGCAGAACCAATGGCCCCGAGCAGGTCCCTGCTCTCCACGATGGCCCATGTTCCTCTTCCTGACACACTCATTTAATTTTTAACTCACAAGGCGTTTACTTATTTATTTTCATTGTTCTTGATAATAATTCTAAGCCATTAGAGGGGAAAATTATATTCAGAAATGCTGTTTCACACTTTATTTGTTTGATGATTTAGAGCAATAGAAAATAGCACATTTGCTGGCTTTTATAGTCTGATAATTATTCACATCCATCAAGCCATTCCAGGGGAATAAACAAAACACCAAGAAAATGACACCATTAATAGCATCCTCCACTGCAGACAGGAAGCCTTTCCCAGGGCAGCGTCTTGGGAGGATGGACTCAGCCTGTCCCCTACCCAAGGCGAGAGCCTGCCCGCAGAGGATGTGTTTTCCTTTCAACTACCTCTGCTTCTGGGCCCAAGAGCCTCCCTCCTGCTGGACTGAGGCCTCTGCCCAAACAGCACCCACGGCCCCCTGGCTTCCAGAGCTTCGTGACTGGACTCCGGCCTGGCCTCAACAGGGCCCGCGGGATGCCCACCTCTGGCCAGGGTTGCACCCCTCCAGCGTCCAGCCTCAGTCCGTCCCTGGCCCCCGTAAGCACGTCCGACCCCTGCACACGTGTCAGGACGCAGGTCTTGGACGCGATCGCTGGCCGCTCTGGCCCCAGGCCTCCCTCTTGGCCTATGCCAGGTGTGCGGGTTTCCACGTTGCCTTTTTTGGGGTGGCTGTGATTGGAGGGGGTGCATCCACTACTCCAGACATCAAGTGTGAAAGAAGAAACCTGGAAAGGAGAGGCTGGGGGACGCCCACCTGGCAGGGCCAGCCCTCCCATCTCTCCCCAGACCAGGGGGTCACTTCCTTCTGGAACGTGGCCTCTGGACTCTGGTCACCTCCGGAAGCCTTCCCGTCAGCCGGTCGTTTGAACAGTGAAACTGCTGGACTGGGACGGTCTCTTTACCGTTGTGTGGCTTTGCATGCGTCTCGTGTCCTCTGCCGTTACCTCCTGGGCTGTATAGAGGATCTAAGATTGCTTTATTTTCTCGCTGAAGCCCCTGGTATTTGCAGACGACTGCCTTTCTGAAAAAGGCGTCTGGCAAACGATGCCTGAATTCGTCTCTCTCGGCCTCCTCGGCGATTCCACAACATTAAACCCAGAGTTATGGAGCCTGTCCAGTCCTGCTGCAGCCTCTGCGAGGTCACCTGGAGCGGTTGCCAGGGACACCGAGCTGACAGCGCCGAATTTTCCACGACTTTCTGGTTGAGTGTCATCCAGAAGTGCTTTGTGTAAAACGTTGACCAGAGGAGAGAAAGGGCAGAGGGAGGGGCGCACATGATGGGCTGGTAACATACGTGGAGAAGGTCCAGAGGGGCCTGCCTGGCCGGTCTCAAGACCGGGGTTCGTGTGCTGTGGCCGGAGGGACCTGCGTGACCCCGTGTGGGCAGCCCGACCCTCTGCAGACTCCTCCAAGGGGTTTCCCCCATTTCTGACTCTGCCCCCTGAAGCCCCTGGTCTGTTGTCCCTCCCATCCCTCCCTGGATTCTGGGAGTGGCTCTGCCCTTTCCTGTATCCGACACGTCCAGATTCTTCTGCCATGACTTCTGTGCTGGCCTGGAGTGAGTTGACCACCAGGAGGCACCCAGCTGCAGCCCAGTCCCTGGGGAGGAGCATGGTGACGGGGGCCATCTGGGGGTGGGATGTGGTCAGCCCAGGAGGAGGCGGGGGCTGGTGGACCAAGGAGACGGCCACCGTGTAGCAGGACACGTGGGAAACCAGCCTCGTGCTGGCAGTGAGCGGGATGGGGGAGCCACGGGGGCTCTGTGTGGGCTTGGGCAGGGCTGACCGCCGGCTGGGAAACCTCGCACCGGCCCAGTCGTGAGATGGACGTGGACCCGGGCAGGCCGTCTGTCCAAGGAAACATGCAAGCACCCTTTGCCTCCCAGGCGACCCGGGCTGCCACGTACAGAGAGCAGCTGCCTGGGGTCGCAGGCGGGCAAAGCAGATTGATTTTGGCCGTGAGGTTTGACCTTGTGATGGGGACGGAGTTCCCAGGGAGCGAGACAAACTGCCCCCATATTGGCGACCAGTAAAACCGACTCTGTTTTACGGCCCCAGAACCTGCTCGCTAATGGCCAGACAGATGCTTGCCTACTTCGAGAGTTAGCGAGCAGCCCTGCTCAACCCAAAGAGCTGCTTTGCCTTCTTTTATTTCCTCCCAGAGCCAAGCCTGAGAGTCAGGGATGCCCCGACCCAGTGGTGTGACGCCAGGCGGGGCTGTAACAAGGTTAGCGCGCCCCGGCCCCAGGCTGGAGACTATGCAAGGCTCTGCCATGGAGGCCTCTCTGTCTGGGGACTTTTCCTTCAGTGGTGAATGTCGGCCCTGCTGGGAGGCTGGCTCACCTGGGCCTCCATTGCTCTGGGCTTGCCTGGGGCCCCGGAGGGGAGGGCCGTGGCAGAGAGGGGGCTCTGTGGGCACCTGCCGCCCGAACTCGGGGAGCCGTTACAACTGCACAGTTGGAGCCTCTGCCGCCCTCCCTGCCTCCTTTGAATGGACGGCCCACGCTCAGCGCGTGTTTCGTTAAGGACCAGGACCCCAGTTCTGCCCGCCTTCCCCCAAAGTCTGAGGTTTTCAGCTTGCTGAGTCCCTGGGTGTGGGCTGGGGGAGCACAGGGGCCTCTCAGCATCTCCCAGGCTGTCGCCGGGTCATTCCAAACCGTGGGAGGCTCAGCGTGCTCTTGGCCGTCGGGGTCCAGACGTCCCCCATGGCTGCCGGCTTCCCATCCACGAGTCCTTTCTAATCTCTCCAGGGGCTGCTCTTCTGAACACTCAGCCCAGTGTCCTGCAGTTTGTACTTTCCGATAACAGAGGAGCCACGTTCCAATGTTTTAAACTTTTAACATCCACCAGATTCAATTAATCTTATCTTTACAACTCCCAATTACAGGCTGTAATTAAGTGAAAGCAGCATTGTAGACTGGCGATATTGCGTTAATCATCACAGCCTTGGAGCCATAAGTTCCTTCCTGTCCTCGGGCATCTTCCCAGAAGGGACAGAATGTCTCATTTCCCTGTTTGGTGGGGGGACCTTAATCCCACAGAGGTGCTTTGGATTGGGATTAATTTTTATCATCTTTATGTAAGTGATAAAAGGCCATTTAAAAAAGAGTCACCTCCTCTTTGTCCAGATAATGGGCAATTCTCTGACGACAGCAGAATTAAAGGTGCCACGGCCACCTCCAGGGCCGTGAAACATGCCCAGAAATTAATTATTTTTATCCTGTTAGATTAGAGACAGCACAATGTTCACCTTATCTCCTACCCTTGCCCCCTTTTATTTTATTAAAAGTAACGATAAACCTTTCAGCTGGAGTGGACTCAGCCAGCTACTGAGCCTGGGCGATCTTCCATGTTCCGTGTCCCTCCCCATTTGGCTTCCTGCCCTGTGGGGGAGGAGGGCGCAGCCGTGGGGAACATCCTCCTGTGGCCTCGTTCTAGAATTCCAGAGATTGCCGTTGTTATTCTGGAGCACGGTCCCCGCGCCCTGCAGCACTGCTGACATCGGGTGGGTCATTCTCTACTAGGGCGCATCCTGGGCACTGTGGGGTGTGGAGCAGCATCCCCCCCACCCCCTCGATGCCAGGACCACTCCCCCAGTCGTGACAACTAGAAATGTGTCAGACGTGGCCCAGTGTTCCCAGGGGGCAGGATTGCCGGATCCTGGAGTTTCTCCCAGATGGGACGGGACTCGGATGCTCTAGTAGCTCTACCATTGGACACTTTACCACCCTCCCTCCTCCTCTGGACAGTGGCCCTACCATGCCTCGCCTTTGCTTGAAAATGGAGGTTTCCTGGACTTCCTTGGAGGTCCAGTGGTTAAGACTCTGTGTTTCCACTGCAGGGGGCGAGGGTTCGATCCCTGGTCGGGGAACTAAGATCCCCGCATACCTCGTGGTGTAGCCAAAAAAAAAAGAAACTGGAGGTTTCCATCTTGCCCAAGTGCCCTCGGGTGGTCTGGGGGTGGCACGTCAGTTGGGTTGGGGCTTCTGGACCCCTGGCCCCTGGCTGTCCCTCCTGGCACCGCCCTCTGCCAGGAAAGCGTTCTGGTATCCCGACACGCTGGCTCGCATCAGCAGGTGACACTCTCGCTTCATCTGTTTGCAGACTTTCACCTTACATCTTTTTTTATTTATGACAGCCGCAATCATCTTTCGAACGTAAAAACGTGTGAAAATACAACTTATGAAAGTGGGTGACGAGTGAAGTCTTGCTCCTTCTTGAAGCTTCTTTCCCCTCGGCTCCTGGGGCTGGGGGGACAGCCCAGGATGCTTCCGTCCTCCTCCTTGGTTCCAATCCAGTGCTCTTTACTTTATGCTTTGCTTTCGAAGCCGCCTAACTGGGAATGTCTCCACTCCTGGCATTCCGAGGGTGTGTCACTGCCCCCCAAGTCCTGGGTCCTGGGCCTCCACCTCACCCCTCTTCCTATCCGTGTGGCATCCCCCGACCCCGACAGCCCCTCCCCTACGCCGACCGCAGCCGCCCAGCTCTGCCCTGTGCCGGGCCCGCGTGTCTCCTGGGGCCCTCAGCTGTGCAGTGGCCACACGCTCTCCCCTCTGACGTGCCTCCCTTCTCTCGTAGGTACGCCATCCCCCCAGAGCATGGCAAGCGCCTGGAGCGTCTGGCAATCGGTAGGTGCCTGGGGCCCACTGGGGCCAGGGTGGGCGGTGGGCTGGCGGCCTCTCCCTCCCCGGCTTCACGCTATTGTCTGGGGGTCGGTGTCCCGGAGGGTGATGTGCTCCAGGTGTCCTGGCTGTGTTCCACTCCTTTCCCTGGCGGTCAGGTCGTGGACCCCCGCTGTGGGTCTGTCACTTCACGAAAGCCACACGGATGCCGTCGCTTCAACACTCTCATTTTCTAGCCTCTTGGCCCAGAGTTCGGGACAGGACCGCAGGCTTTGCCAGCTGGGGGCAGCCCGTGCTCCCCTTGCCCCCCAGCACCTGGTGCTGCATCCACCCTTTTCTGTCTTTATGGACTCTTTGCTCAGTCTAGAACACGAGAAGTTCAGTTTGGAGGTCCGCACCTGTTCCGTGCGGCCGCATGGGGACTGCAGGGCCATCTGCTAATCCCGTGCAGGGTCGGGTCACCCAGGCTCCCTCCACCACCTGGATTGAGACCCTCGCTAGGGCCTCTTGGGCTGACAGGATTTGTCGGAGAGGGTCCCGGGCTGCGACTGGGGCTCTGACCACCCGGGTAAAGGCCGGCCCTCAGGGCATGGGATCCTTAGAGACAAGCCAGACACCCAGGCTGGGGGGCGCGGAGGCCTCTTTGTGCCCCGATTGGGGGCCAGGCTGTTCCCCCCATTGCTCTCATCTCGCACCTGTCCTGTCCCCATGGAGACCCGTGTCCTGAGGGTGGACGGCTGTCAGTGCCTGGACAGACGTTCACAGACCCCGCTGGCCCAGCGGGCGGGCCCTCGCTGTGCAGCCAAGAGCAGCCCCTCCCTCTCAGGCAGCACCCTGGTGAGGGTGAGAGTCTGCCGGAGATAGCACGGGGCCTCAGGCCACCCCGACCCCCGTGGCAGCAGTAGGCAGCTGGCACCCCCAGGTGGCCACAGAACCGTCCGAAGCCATGGCCTGGTGTTGGTGAGGCTCCCTGCCAGCCGGCTGCCGGCCTCTGTGGGCGCCTCCCTGCCTGCACTTGACTTGGGGGTGGGAACGGCCCATCTTTCTGCCCAGCAGATTCTCACAGCAGGTTGGCGGGGTCGGCAGAGTCCCGGGTGGGAGGGAGGCTGTCAGGTGAGTTGAGCAGGTGCCCCCGGGCCCAGTTCCTCTGCAGAGGCCATTGTCATGTCACCTTTTATGTTGGAAACTTGGACCTTGACCTCATGGACAGGGCTGGAGCCGCTCTCAGGAACATGCTTCTCCCGGGAGAAATTCCAGTGCAGGCGGGCATGACAAAGGCTGATTTAACTTACTTACTGAGCTCGAAAATAAAACCCAATTAATTTTGTTCCCATTATGTATTTTAAAATGCAAATTTAAAATGTCTTTTCCTATTGTATTAGCTTCCTGTTGATGTAACAAGTTACCACAAACTCAGTGGCTTAAAACAACACACATCTCCTCAGTTTTGCTGTGAACCTTAAACTACTCAAAAAAACCTCATTAAAAAACCCCACAGATTTATTTTCTTACACTTCTGGAGGTCAGAAGTCCACAGTGAGCCTCTAGGGGCTAAAAGTCAAGGCATCCGCAGGGCTGGCTCCTTCAGGAAGCCCCGGAGGAGAACCCGATTCCTGGCTTCTATGGCTTTTGGAGGAGCTGCATCCTGGGCGTGGGGCCGCGTCGCTCTCATTTCTGTCTCCCTGGTCTGTGGTCGAGTGTCCCTCTGACCCCCTCTTATAAGGACCCTCCGGATGACACCAGCCCCCTGGGTGGTCCAGGCCCATCCCCATGTCAGGGGCCTGAACTTTATCCCGTCTGCAGAGTTCCTCTTACCACTGAGGGGACCTTCCACAGGTTGCGGGGATCAGGACATGGACGTCTTGGGGGCCACTGTTCAGCCCCCCACACCTGCAGAGCCACGGGGATCAGTGCGGGCGCTCTCTGGGGACCACGTCCGTGACACCCCCGGGCCTTGCCTGCAGCTTCTCTGTTCTTCCTGTTCAGAGGGGGTTGCACTTAGCCATGCCCGGCTGTTCTCCCTCAGTATGCCTTTTCTACTAGAAAAGTTTTGGGTGATTGGAGCGCCAACTAGAGAAGCAAGAGAAGCCAGATGCAGGATCCTCTGGGGCCCCCCGCCGAGCCCAGACAGTGACACAGCCGCTCTCCCTGGAGCTCGCCCTGTGCTCCGTTCCCGCAGCCGGAGCTGCTGCCGGGTCCTTTCTGATGCCCCGACCTGGATGCTGGCTCGCTTCCTGGGCATCTGAGGGAGGCTCAGTGGCCAGGGCTGGGAGAGGAAGAGTTGGCTAGCAGGGAGGCCGCCCCGTCCTTGCTTCTTGAAAAATCCAGACTCATTAAGTCAAGCAGCTCCTGGAATTCAGGAAAGGGGCTGTGAGCTCTGGAGGAGGGGCGGGAGCCTCCTGCTTCCTCTGCAGCCCCTCACTCAGGACTGCTCTCCCCTCCTCGGAGGAAGGATGGGGGAGGCTCCAGGGCAAGTGACTCACTGCCCTCCTAGGCGTCTCTTCCAAACTTTTTGGGGGTGTGCATCAGGGGCTCCATTACTGAGATGGGTGGAATGGGTTTGCGATTAATATGGAAAATGAATAGCCGTGCTCCGAATGGGCTCGCTGGGAGAGTTGTGCAGCCCACGGGGAGAGCATTAATGTGTTGGCGCGTTATTGGTGCTAATCACTTAAAATGTGCTTCTTTATTAGAGCTTTAATGAGAGCCACTTAAACTGTGCATTAAAAAGAGGAACTGCAGAGAGGCCGGCGGGCCGGGCGGCAGGCAGCCGTAACTCTAATTGAAATGCTTCTAGTGCAGAGCAGAGTTGTTGGATTCAGTCAGCCCTGGCACCTTCCAGAGCCTTGCCATTGTGTCCTTGCGGTTAGGAGCCTCTTGCAGCCTTGGCGTGTGGGTGGGGCCACGCGGGTGCGCACGTGCATACACACACACGTGCCCTCTTTAACCAGCAGCCCGTCGAGGGTGCGCGCTGGCCTGGAGGCTGGGCCCGGTCTGGATCGGCTTCCAGAAGGGCCCTGGGGCTGCCTGCGTCTGGGGATCAGTCCCAGAGGGAGGTGGCCGCTCGGGAGCGTGTGCTGGTGCCGCTGCTGTGGGGACTCATCCCACACCTCGAGGAGCCGTGTGGCAGCCCTCCTGTGCCCACTCTCTGTGCGGGTTTGAGCTGAGGCGCCTGGCCACCATGGGCAGAACCTGGGACAGGCTTTTTCTTAACCACGAGACACACGTGTCATTGACTTGAGTTGCAGCCAACAGGCGATGTGGGAACGTCCCTGAACTGCGTTAGTGAAGCACGGTTTCTGGGTAGGTAGAGCTGATGGTGGGCTTTCCGTAGGCTCGCGGAGGCTATCCCTGTTGTAAATTAGTTACGTGGCGCATCGTGGGGCAGAGAGCATAGGGGCTGTGAGCACAGACAGAGGGTTAGGGGCTGTGGGCGCGGCCTGCATTGGCCCCATGTGTCTGGGGCCAAGGGTGGGCGGGTTGTCTCCCGGGCCTCCGTGTCCTCACCTGCCTGGTGGCGGTGGGACCACGTGGGTGGAGAGCCTGCGCCACTCAGGCGGCCCCCCTCTTTGTTGCGGACTCCTCAGTGTTGGGGGGTGGTGGGGGACCCCACTCACCGTGGTCACCGTGTGTCTGGTCAAGAGCAGCAGCTCCCCTGTCTTGTGTCCGGGCTGCGCTCTCACGTGGCCGAGTGACTGTGTGGAAGCCACGCAGTGGCTTTTGTCTGAGGGGAGCTCGGGGTGGGCAGCGGTCTCTGGGCAGCCGCACCCTGTCTGCGACCGCGGGTGTGTGCTGTGGGTGCGCCCCTCGTCACCCAGGACCCCGTCCCGCAGTCCCCTGTGTGTTTCATTCCCTCGGGGCCTCAGAGGAAAGGGCTGCCCGGAGAGAGGTGTCCCGGCTGCCCTGCCGCCCCGTCCCACGGGGCAGGCCCTGCCCCGTCCCGCCAGGCTGATGCTGGTCTTCTCTGCTCTAGGCTTCTTCCCCGGGAGCTCCCAGGGCTGCGATGCTTTCCTTCGGCACAAGATGACCCTCATCTCGCCCATCATCCTCAAGAAGTATGGGATCCCATTCAGCCGGGTACGTAGGGGCTGAGCACAGACCACCTGCTCGTGGAGGGGCTTCTGGGGCCCGTGCCCTGGTGACCACGAGTGCCCCAGGAAACTGGCGTCTTAACCCTGGAGAAGGTTCTAGGACGATGGCAAGCCAGGGCAGGGCCATCAGCCTCCAGCTCTTCCAGGGTGGGGAGTGAGGATGGAAGAGGGGCCGTCAGGAGGGGCCTTGACTTTCCTTCCCGCCCAGACCCGAATGTCGGCAGGTCCTGCGGGCCGGGCTGGGGAGTGGACGGTCGGGGCAGCGCCTGCTGACCTGGCAGGAAGCGCTGAGGAGCCGGTGCTCCCCGTGGGAGTCCCTTCCCGCCCACCCGTGCCCGGGCAGACGCTTTTGAAAGAGCAAATACCTGTTTAGAAATGAAACGCCTGGCTCCCTCGCAGCGTGAAGGCTGTGAACTCATGCAGTTTCCTGCTCCAGAGGCTGCTCCACTGGTCCGTGTGGGGCTGTGAGGGGTGAGGCCACGCTGGGAGCCGGGTTGGCAGGGACCCCACTGCCTGCGGAGGGCGGGCGGGTGGGGGCTGAGCACCGGGGCCAGGCCGCCTCTGCCCCGGAAGTGGGCCCAGCTGTCGTCATTCCAGGCCAGTCCTTCCCCGCAGACAGCCCTCCTGGACGGGGGAGTCTGCGCCCCGGTCCCTGCGTGGGTCCAGGCGAGAGGCCTGTGCCCGGAACTTACCGGACAGGCGTGTGGGCCGTGGCACCGAGGGCAGGGGGCAGAGGAGACTGTCCGGGAATCCAGCTTCTGCAGGTTTCCCCAAAGAGCGCTTCGTCAGGCGCAGGAGCGAGTTCTGGGGGCGGACCTTCGTGCCTCTCTCTGGCCAAGGGTGTCAGCAGGTCAGAAATTGTTCTGACGTTTCAGTCAAACCGCCTGCAGCATCAGCACACAGATCGGGGATTCGCCTTTCTATCGGGGCCGCACCTGCTGCTCATGCTTATTAGGTAGCGGGATATTTCACTCTGAGAAACGCAGCTTTCCATGCTTCCCTCTTCCCACCCACCCCACCCGCCCCCGTCTTCTGGTTGGAACATCATTCTTTGCCAGGAACCTCACAGACAGATCACGGCATTGCTCACGGAAGTGAGAGGTACTTGCTCTCGCATCCCTTTGTCGCGGACGTTCTCCAGAGTGGTGCTTCCTGGAGAGGGATGCTGGTCGCAGGAGTCAGCTGGCGGGCACCCTCGTTCTCCCGGGTCAGTGCCAGTGTGGCCCTGCAGCTTGTATATGAAATGCCTGAGCGTGACCCAAGGCGGCGGCGGCCTCCTGGCCCAGAGGGGCTGCTGGTGACTGGAGAGAGGCCGGGCTCCGCAGCCACCGCGGCTGCCCACGGGGCCCGGACAGAGCTTCGTCCCAAGGCCCTTGTCCAGCAGCAGGGAGCCCTCCGTGGGCCGCCGGCTCACTCAGGACCAGGCTCCGGGCCCTGCAGCGTCAGGCTCCACGTGGAGCCCCTCATCTGAATTCCTGGCGGCCTTCAGAGTGACGCCCCGCACTCCACTTATAAATCTTTGTAATGGTATTTACTTCTAGAAGAAAAAGCAGATCGATAGCAGAGCTTTTTAATAATTAAAAGTGTGTATTTCTGTGATCTACCACGGACTTCCTCATTTATTCTTGGAGAGCTCGCACAAGCAGCCGACCGCCGGGCTTCCTCTGTGACTGGCGTCTGGGGCTGGCGCTCCCTCCACTACTGATTGCTTTGCGTCACGGCCTATCCGTCATCCCAAGCGCCCTCTAATTTATTGTTGGGATAATGTTGACGGTGGTGACACGGAGGACAGACACCGTGGGTTTGAAATGGAGCCACCAGGATGTAGATTTTCTGACAGGGACATAATCTTCTTGTTGCTCTAAGTGAGCACGTCTCCTGTTCTGGGGCTTGATTTATGGGCCGGATCGGGCGGGGGACCAGGCCCTCAGTGTGCCTCTCCCCATGGGGGCTCCAGCTCGGTGATGGGGACCCTGCTGCGTCCCTGAGCTCAAGCAGGCCAGTGCACGCACGGAGGCGTTCTGGAAAGCGAGATAGCACTTTACAGAATCAGCTCAAGTAGGATAAGAACATCAGTAATTGCATTTAAAAGCGCATCCCCAAACCTGAATTTTACTTATCTCATTTGACGAGGCTCCGAGTCCTGCAGCAGAAGCTGGCCCAGGGGACCCTTCCTGAGAACGAGGATGCTGGCCGCTGGGCCCTGGGGACACTACATGTCCCCTCCTCCCCCATCTTCTGCTGTCGCTTCATCCCCGCATGCGGCTGTCACTTGGACAGGAATTTAAAAATATTACTTAATGCACACTGACTGCCCTTGATGGGTACAATTCATTATTTGCAAAGAAAGACATCTCCGTGTTCTTAAGGACTGGCTTTTCTCCAGGCTACGTCAGTTTTGATTGATTTCTGACTCTGTGGTTGGCTTCTGGAAGTCTCCCCACCTCCACCTCACCCCACCCCCGGTCGCCACCTCCCGCCACCCACCCTCCCCTGCCAGGGTTTAACTCCTCGTTGGTTACTTAGATGAATCCAGCGATTTCTGCTCCTCTCTCTGGGGTTATTAGCAGGCCCCAAAAACTACGACAGAGTGGTGAAGAGCCTCTAAGTGGGGCAGAAGGCTTGAGCAGACACACTCTGCAGAAGGAGGCGTGCGCAGGCGCCGGCAGGACGCAGTGGGCGGCATCCACAGACCTCAGGGAGGGGGCCGGAGCATCACACCCACCCCACAGGGCCACTGCGTGCGAATACCCCATACCCCATATGCCGCCGAGGGGGCGGGGGAACTCGCCCTTCCCACCACGTGGGTGCAGAACGGGCGGCCACTGCGAAGAGCCGCTGGGCAGTTTCCTCGGGCCCCACGGTGCCCCCTCCGGAGTCTGTTTACTCCGGAGAAGTGCAAGCAACCACCGGGAGAAGATGAATCCACAGGTGCCCCCAGCTCTGCTCACAGAGCCTCAGACCAGGAACAGCCACAGGCCCGTGAGCAGGAGGCTAGACGAACAAATAGCAGCACATCCTCATAGCAGGAGACCCCTTTAGGAGCTAAAAGGAGCAGACGACCCATGTGCCCGGCGGGACGGATAAACCCCGAGGATGTGCCGAGCGGAAGAGGCCAGACGCAGAGCATGGGCAGCGCGGTCCGTGTCTGTGAAACCCTAGAGAGAAACATCGCCGAGGGGCGGGGGGCGGGTGCATTTGGGCCCCGTTCTCAGAACTCCAGACAACCTGATGTGCACCACGTGCTCAGCCTAGGAGAAGACTGGCCCTCCTGACCCCAGAGGGTCACTCCCACGTCACAGCCTCTAGTCCAGCAGCCCCGCCTCCCGTCCCAGGACACAGCGAGTGGGGGTGGCGGCCGCTGCTCTTTGTCACCCGTCTGCCGGACACTGGTCTGTTGGAGCGCTTGCTGATGGCCGGGGGTAGTCAGTGCAGAGTGGGGAGGGGCCCGGCGAGGAGGCTGCAGCCTCCTTCTCCAGGCCTCGGGCTGGCACCTCTGGAAGCCTCTGTCTGGCATCACTGTGGGTCCCCCACCCCGGTCCCTCACGCCCAACTTCTTGGTTTGGGGTCTCTGTTGCAGAGGCTGGACCAGAGTCTGGCCGTCCAGACCATTTTGAATAGGCCTGGAAACGCGCTCGTCCTGCAGTGTCGTGACCTTGACACGTGTCCTCCCGGCCCACTGATGTGTCGCTTCAGTCTCTTTGCCCTCACTTGGAAGGACCCATGTCTTGGGATGTAGTGGACAGATTCTCTGCTCACAGTGGCGGGGCCACTTAGGCCAGCTTCTGGGGACGTTTTGGGGGTGGGCTTGCTCCTTCCTCGCACGAGGGCTGGGCGCCGTGCTACTGGCTCAAACCTGCCCTGGGCTCCAAGGGCTCCGAGCTCCGCCAGTGCCGACCGGCCCTCCTCGCCAGCCCCGGCGCCGTGTGGGAACATCTCACAGTGGATGGACGCTTGCCAGGCCACCTACCCCCAAAGCAGGAGACCCCCCCCCCCCCCGCCAAATGAGAAGTACGTAGAATCCTAGCATTGCTGCTCACCCATCTGGAGAGTGCAGACTGTCCCCTCGGGGCCCAGTGGGGTCTCAGTGAGGGGCGGGGCTGGGAGCCCAGTTGCCGCCCTGGCCACTCACCTCACCTACTTCCCAAGCCTTGCGAGCACCAGGCCACAGCCTGTCACTTGGCCGACTCCTTTGGCTCCTGAAGTCAGGCTCCCTGGCACTTGTTGGGACGTCCTCGAGCCCACGTCCCCCTGCTGTGCTCCTCGGTGGCTTCTTGTGGCTTTGCCATCAGCCCGTGATGCCCTGTGTCAGGCCTCGCCCCTCACCTGTTGGCCTCTTGCCCCTCAGATCACGCAGGAGGCTGGGGAGTTCATGATCACGTTCCCCTACGGCTACCACGCCGGATTCAACCACGGATTCAACTGCGCGGAATCTACCAACTTTGCCACCCTGCGGTGGATTGATTACGGCAAGGTGGCCACCCAGGTGAGTGCCCGCAGACCCTGGGGAAGGGTCTAAAGGGGGCCGGCCCCCACCTGCTCACCCAGCCCAGGGCCTGGGTGGCAGCCGTTTATATTCGACCGGAGGCTGGGATTCTCCATAAGGGTCTGTTTCTGGATCCTCAGCAAACTTGTCCCCAGAATGTTCCTCACCTGGAGGCAGGGGAAGGGAGTCTGGGCAGGCCTGGGGTCGGGTCTCCCCTCCTCCTGGCAGACCCCAGGTGTGTTCCCCATCGTCTGGGGATCAGGGAAGATTTGTTCCTTGTTAGTTGACCCCTTGGAGGCCACCTGGCCGGGCATGGGGTCTGCTTGGGCCCCAGCGCCTTTGCCCCCCTCCAGCTTCCCCATCTGGGCTTTTCTGCTGCAGGGTGCAAGAAAGATGGGGAGAGAGAGAGGGCGCAGAACCCTGGCAGAGCAGACCCTGCGCTCGAGTCTGAGGGCTTCCTGCTGCCTTGCTAGCCACATTGAGAGGTCACTGAAAGGCCGGAAGACTCCTTTGATTTTCCTCAGTAATTTACTGTTCTGGTCCCAGAGGGCCGATTATTGGCCAACAGATTTGATATCTGAGCCAAGCGCTCGTTCTCAAATTCCTTTTCTCCTGCACTCACCTGTCTGTGGTTTTGACGGGCAGCTTTGGGGGCACGAGGCCCCGTAGTGGCGAGTCCAGGGAGCGGCTGAGCACTGGGCAGGGCCCTGGGAGGGAGAAGCTGCTGGGAGGGCTGTCGGGCAGGCAGCAGGCCCAGCCCTTCCTTGGCTGCCGGGACCAGGGGCCTTCTACCCAAGACTGGTACCACGTGTGCCGTGGAGGAAGCCGGCGAGCTCTGCCCAGGTCTGAGCTGGGCTCAGACCAAGCGGCCCCGGCTCTCAGGTTTCAGTCCCTTTAACCTTCTCTCCACTGCAAAAGGGGGCCCGGCTCTTCACAAGCATCCACTGTGGTACTTGGGTCATGGGACAGGAGAGGCCTCTCCTGGTGAGCTTCCTACCAGCCTCCCAAGCCAGAGCCTTGGGGTTCCTCCGCGGAATTTCTCAGCCGTTATGAGTTAGGACCCAGGGTTGGGACAGATGGTGGGTTTCTCCCAGGCCCGGAAGTGGGAGCAGTGTGGACCCGGAGGACTTGGAGCCCGGATCCTGATTCCTTCAGTGTTTCCCAGACCTTGGACCCTTGCAAAAGAGGGTCTAGGCCGTGACGATCGGGCATCACAGCCTGGAGACGTGGCCCGATGGAGTGGAGGGGAGCCGGTGGCGTGCACGAGTCCACGGCAGGGCACGTGGCAAAGAGCAGGAAACCCCGCACCAGGGGTGTTCAGGGGGGTTACAGACTGATGCTTTTGAACAGGTGAGGTTAAACAAGATCCATTCTTAAAGCAAATGTCGCCTGCTTCTTTCCACGTTTGAATGGGGTGAAAAATTAAGCTTCACAGGTGGCTTTGCGTCACGTCTCCACTGGGCAGCGCGGTCTAGACGGGCTGGCTCGTCTCTGTCTTTCTAATGATCTGTTTCTCTTAACTTCGCTGTGTCAGTGCAGTTGAGAAAAGGAAATGGGTTTTGTAGCCAGGAAGACTGGAGAGGCGCCCCGGGATTTAAAGTGCTGGGCTTTTTATACTTAATTCAGGAAACTGTGGCGGGATTGTCTTTGGCAGAGCCTCTGGCTTCGCTGCAAGAGGAGAGACGGGGGTGTCAGGATTGTCCCTTTAGATCCACAGGGGTATGTTTGCAGGGAGTTCTGTGTGATTGAGTTATCAGCCTGGCCCCGGGGCTGGTCCCGGGGGTGCTGCTGGAGCCGACCCTGCTGCTGGGCCAGCGGGGATTGCCCGGATATTAAAAGCAATTTTGGGTTCAGCCATGTGTTCACAAACAAGTGGCACTTGGGAAGCGCAGCCTTAGATGGGGCTCCACCCTCATATCGCCAGGCGGCGGAGCGTGAAATTACTGAACAAGTGACAAGCGTTGCTCTGAGCCGGCCCGGGTTCTGGGGTGCTCAGCGGCTTCCGCCAGGAGTGGCCACTGGCCAAGGGGCACCCGTCCGTTGCCACCTGATGTCAGCCTCCAGGCCTTTAGGTGGTGGAACGGGACAGCAGGTTCAGACCTCCAAGCTCCGCTGCCCCCGTAACGAGTCTGGGCTGGAGAGGCCGCCGGGCGCCTGGCCTCGCAGGGGACAAGCTGAGGGCATTGGCGGCAGGGGACTGTTCGGTTCCCGGGGTGCTGGGCCTGTGGACTTAAGGGAGGGAGGTGGGGTGGGGCACGGGGGGACCAGGGCCCCTTCCCGCTGAGCAGGGGCCTCTCCCTGCAGCCTGAGTGCCCCGTCCCGTCTGCATCCCCTTCCAGCACATTCCTCAGAATGCACCCAAGGGAGAGAACGTCCACTTCCCAGATTCTAGACTTCTGTACTTGTTGGTTCGTTACCTCTTCAGGCACCCAGTGAGCCCCTCACTCCCCGCACTGTCCGTTTCTGTCATTCTCCCTCTGCTGATGCATTAAAGGCTAAGCTCTCACGCTCGCCAGCCTGTGTGAATTTCAGGTGTTACTGTGCTTGCTTCTAGAGCAGGGTCGGCAAACGGGGGCCCACAGGCCAAACCTGGCAGGTCGACTATTTTTGTATGGTCTGCAAAAAGAATGATATTTAGATTTTTAAAGAGCTGGGGGAGAAAAAAATCAAAGGAAGAGTGTGTGACAATTGAAAACTAGATGAAACTCACATTTCACGTTGATAAGTAGTTTTATTGGCACAGATGTGCCCATTCATTCACGTGCCTGCAGGGCTGCTTGCCTGCAGCGGTGGAATTGAGTAGTCGTAACAGGACCGTCTGGCCTGCAAAGTGGAAAATATTTGCCGTTTGGTCCTTACTAGGAACTTTGCAGTCCCTGGTCTAGAGAATCGAGGGTGCAGGCGCTCTGGCTGCAGCTCGTCAGGGCTAAGGTCACCTCCTTTGCTCTTTTCTTTGCAGCCCACAGAGTCTCCGGCATCAGAGGGGCTGTTCCCTCCAGCAGATTGGCTCCCAGCCACTGTCTCTGGAGGTTCCGGAGGGTCCAGTGAGGGCGCTGGTGGCTTTGGTGCCCGGCAGCCCAGGCCAAATGCCGATGTGCCACTGCCGGCCCCCTGCAGAGCCCACCCGACTTCCCCACTGCGGGCAGGGTGCCCAGTCCTCGGGCTCAGGTCTGCCCTGCAGGCCACAGGGGTGCCCAGCATCCTCCTGGCTCTAAAACTCTGGAGAAAATAGGCTTGTGGCCTCTTGCCAGAGCCCCTTGGAAGGAGCACCTCTGGTCCCTGTCTACCTGACAGAGGCTGCAGAGGGCTGCCCTCTCCCACCCTTTCCGCTGCTCGTCCCACTTGCAGTCTGCACTCTGTGTTCACTGTCAAGTTGAGGTAGAGTTTCTTCTCCAGGATGGTCTTCCTTCCCCATCGCTGATGCTAACCCTCATCAGCCCTCTGTGCATGGGAGGAAAGCCTCGTGGCCACCTGCTCCCTGCCTGACGCGCCCTGCAGTGGGGGGCGCCCGCCGTGTCCCCGCCCCGGCGCCAGGGGGAATGGCCCTGCCTTCCTTGTGGCCAGCGACCATCCCCGCCTACAAAGGGGGTGAAATGGATAAGGATCCAGCAGAGCTCTGGGTGCAAATGGCCCTGGTCCCTCGGACTCTGGCCCACCCTCACTCCCACCCGCTGTGGCGCTGTGACACTTGGGGCCAGGTCACCCTCTGGGAGGCCGTCCCGGGCGCTGTGGTGTGTGGAGCAGCCTCCCCGGCCCCGCCCCCTCGATGCCACGAGCCCCCAGTGTGACAGCCACAGACATCCCCAGGCATTGCCGTGTGTCTCCTGGGGACAGGATCAGCCCTAGCTGAGGGCCCTGGCTGACCTTTCTCTCTTCGGCGCAGAGGGTGGTTGGTTAGTATGGCTGTGCTTTTTGGACTCTGGTAGTGAGGCTTCGTCAGCTCAGTTTAGTTCCTCTCCCCCGGGCACGTGTGTGAGACCTTGCATCTGCCTGCCACCTTTTCCTACTGAAAGGCAGTTTTCGTGGCCGTGGTCCACAGCCTTGGGTTTTGGAGTCCCTTAAGCACGACAGATGCTAGCTGTTGCCAGGGCCACAAACCCGCACTTAACAGGGAGCGAGGGATGGACCTCTGGGGCTGTGGGTACGTTATCTCCACGTGCCTCTCTTCTCTGGGGCAGGGGTTGGGGGGCTGGGCCGACAGCAGGGTTGTGGGAACCGGGACTCTGCAGGGCGTCGATGTATCTGCTCTGTAGGAACCGGTCCTCTTTCAGGAACTAGTTGTTGGAGAGGTGACTGCCCCCGAGGAATCTGAAGTTCTCTACCAAGCCCACGGGCAGAGAGGCCCCCGATCCTGGGGTCGTTCGGGGTATGAGGGAGCTGGGCCCCTGCCCCCATGGGTAGGAGGGGCGCCGTGTCCCAAGTGGACCCTGAGCGTCCTCAGGGCTGGGTGGCATCCACACTCACACCCAAACCAGCGCCCAACAGCTCCTGCGAAAGCGCACCCTGATGACAGGGCTGCCCGTTTCTTCCTCCTGGACTCCCGCCGAGGGTTCTGGACCACATGGCCCTAGCCCCGTGGCACGTGGATGAACCCCTTGCTTCCTGGGCTTCTGGACACATGGCAGAGCTGGTAGTGGAGCCGGGGCTGGGCCTCCATGTGGAGTGGGGGTCGGTGGAAGGAATTAGAACCCAAGCCCGTGGGGCTGGGGCAGGCAGAGACCGCCCGAGTCTGTGGGGGGAGGGTGAGGGGCGAGGCTGCAGGGCTGCTCTGGGCCCCAGAGGAGGAGGCGGTAGCTATAGGGACAGGATGGCAGATGGAGGCTTTTACAGACTCTAGGAGGGGGCGGGGACTTCCTGCTGGCTTCATCCTCCAGTTTGGGAGATGTGGGAAGAAGAACACACACGACTTGGCCTTCCATTCCCACCCCCTTTGGTCCGGAACGGTGCTGCCCTGTGGATGGACCTCAAACACATGATGCTCAGTGAGAGAAGCCGACACA